AAAAAAATAGTAATTTTTGCTTCAGCCATTGAACATAGTTTAGAAAATCCAAGAGAAAAATCTATAGTATTTACTCCTATTTTTTACTGTTTTCATTGGTCTTTCTTTCTTTCTGATGTTCTAAAATTCCTTTTTAAAAATCATGCTCTTTTTGTTTAGAGAATATCTTTCATGCATTCTTTTAAGGTAGGTCTGCTGGCAACAGATCTCTTAAACTTTATCTGAGGATATCTTGTTTCTTTTTATTTGTTTCTTTCTTTCTTTTTTTTTTTTTTTTTTTTTTTTTGAGACAGGGTTTCACTATGCAGTTCAGGCTGGCCTTAAACTCACATTTTAGCCCAGGGTGGCCTCGAACTAGCAGCGATCCTCCTGCCTCAGCCTCCCAGGTGCTGGGATTACAGGCAAGCGCCACCACACCCGGTTTGAGAATATTTTATTTCCCCTTCATTCCTGAAGGCTCATTCTTACAATTTTGGATTGACATTTCTTCTCTTTTGAAAGTGTGTGAAAAGTGTCCTGCTACTTCCTGTCTGCCTCTGTGGTTTTTGATGAGAAATCCAGTCATTCAAATTGCTCCCCAGGGTGAGCATGGGCGTTGTTTCTGTCTCACTGCTTCCCACATATTTTCTTTCTCTTTACTTTTCAGAAGTTTCTGGTGTACCTGGCATGAATTTCTTGGGTTTATCCTCATTGGAATTTGCTCAGCTTTTTACATCTATGAGATTATGTCTTTTGCCTAATTTGGAGATTACTCAATCTTTATTTTCTCAAATGCCTGTTTAACTCCAAACTCTCCTCCCCTCTGGGATTGCAATGACCCAAATGTTAGCACTTTTGTTATAATCCCACAGGTTCCTGAGGTTTTCTCTCCTTTCTTTCTTTCACCAACTTTATCTTAGCTCTTCAGGTTTTGTAATTTCTATTTTCTTATCTGGAAGTATACTGGTTATTTTCTCTTTTCTATGTTCTGGTATTGAGTCTATCCAGTGAGTTGGGAGTTGTTTGTTTCTCTTGATTATATTTTTTTAGTTCTAGAATTTCCATTTGATTCTCTTTACACCTTCCTTTTTTATGTTGACATGTCTGTGTTTTTAAGACTATATCTCCTCCTATATTTTCAATTTGCTGCAAGCACATCTCAAGTTGTTTATTAATGTATTTTTACTTGGCTCCTTTAAAATCTTAGACAATTCTTACATCTATGATGTATTAGTGGTGGTGTCTGTTGAATGTCTTTTCTTATTCAATTTGCGATTTTCCTGGTTTTCTTGGTAAGATAAACGGTGTTTTATTAGATCCTGGATATTTGAGGTGTTGAGATTTTCTGGATCTTAAAATCTCTTTTAAAGCCAGGCATGGTGGTGTACCCTGTGATCCCAGCACGCAAGAGGCTGAGGCAGGAAGATCATAAGTTTGAGGCCAGCCTGGGCTACACAGTGAGCTCAAGGCCAGCCTGAAGAATGTAGTGAGGCCATCTCAAAAAAATAAAAAAGTTCTCTTTTAACTAGACTTTGACACCACTCTGGCAGGGGAAGCTGGGAGCTGCTCATTTTACTGCCAGGTGAACATGGAAGCCTAAGTTCTGCACTTGGCCTCTGCTCCTACCCAGGGGGAGGTGGGCCTCCTGACTATGAGCCCCAGTAGCCACGAAGACTCCCCCCAAGCCTCCATTAATGGCACCCACAGTGTCACTCCCAGGTCCAGTGAAGCCTGGCCAGCCCAGCTTCCTTTCTTCACTCTTGACATTACACGTAAAACAAACACAAGGTCGTGACTTTCGTTATGTTAGATTTTACATCAAACAAGAACATAAATAAAGACTCAAGATATGCATGGCAAAGGTCAGAGAAGTTTAGTAAAATCTATAAACTTGCAGTCCATTGGAATATAAGGTAAAGTGATGGGTGGATAGATGATATATATGTATATATATACATATATGATGAAACAGGAATAGTGCAAAGCTATTGGCAGAATTTGGGTTATGAGCACGTGAGTATTCACCGTAAGCTTCTTTTATCTAGCTTGGTATGTTTGATGTGTTTCATAATTAACCATCGTCGTATGTTTTAGCCTTTTAAAATTTAATTGAAACCCTTATGTACCCATTAAAAAAACACATCAACTAATTATCTGTACCAATAAAAAGAAAAATAAGAGACAAACCTAAGTCTCACACTTAAAATCTTTCTCAGAATATTACTTCTTTTGAATTTCTGTTTAATTCTTTTCATATCTATTTTATACCCCAATCTAATTTTTATTGGAATTAATATTTTTAAAATTGTGAACTATTTCAAATGCACTGAAACATGCAGCAACTAATACAACAGACCCCTGTGGCTATAGCACCTAACTCTGCTAGAACCTACCAGTTTGCAATTTGTACTTCTGGCTTTCTTAAATAAAAAAGTAAGTACTTTTTGCTTACTTCTCTTAAACTAAAACTTCTCTAAAAAATAGAATCAGTTCAAATTTAATGGGCCTTGTACTCCCAAAACTA